GCTGGAAGCGGCCGACTCCCCCCACCTGCTGCAGGAGGTCATTGAAAGCCATGGTGCCAGACTGGGCAAGATCAAGTGGGGCTGAGGCCTGCTGCGCCTCTGACCTGCCTCTAGTCTTGCGGTGCCTTTCAGGGAAGGGTCTGCCTTTTATTCCTCAGCTCACCAGGTCCTCAGTCGGCTGAGACCCCAGGCTTCCTGGTTGTCAGCAGCAGTTCTTAAAACTTTTTCCAGGGGACAGAGTTAAACTGTAACTTGAACGAGCACTATGTAATCAGTAAGAGCCACCAGACCAGCGAATTGCTCAAAGGGCAGGGACAGTTGGGGCCAATGGAGGAAGCTACTTCACACTTGTCAGGAGGGATTCTCTCCACTGGGTCCGAACAGAGAACGTCCCCCTTGGCAAAGACTGGAAAGTGCCAAAGGTGAGGGTGCGGTGGGGGGCGGGAGTGGAAGCCCAGCCTGGTGTGAACATGAAGCCGGAGCCAAGGGCCCCCTCTTTCCATCCCAGGTCCCACCCTACTGAGTCAGATTGACTTGGGGAGAGACGGAATCATCCCAGAAGCAGTGTGAACCCACCAGCACTGGTGGTGGATGTGGGGACGCTCTCTGAGACAGGGGCAGGGCAAGCGGCTGGCTTTCAGATGCCCAGATCCGCCCAAGCAGAAGCCAATCGCTTGTTCTGCCTTGGAGCCCCAGTCTTGTCTTCCAGCTCCAGGTCGACGATGGTGTCATCAGTCCAGGTGCCCCCATGCCTGCCCTAAAAGGACAGGCTGCCAGAGACATCCCAGCAGCAAAGGAATGGATGGCTCTAGGCATCTCGGGGGTCCTCCAATGGCCAAGGAATTCTTGGAGTGTGTTCTCCAACATCGTCGGAGAACATGGGGCTCTCGACGGTCCCAGAGATGGGCTGGGCATGGTGATGTCAGCCCTGCTCAGATTCGTTCTAAGCTGCTGCGAGCTCTCCCACCCTCTGGTGGCTTTTTCAGAAGGAGCATCAGGCCACCTCTCCGACCAGATGGCCCTGACTCAGCCTGGAAGGCAGTGTGGACAGCTTGAGGAATGTGGATTTTTCCCAGGGGGTGGAGGGCTGAGGGGCAAGGTCATATGCAGAGGAAAGAGTAACCGGCAAACAAGGCTGGCTGAGCAAGCATAGTTGGTGCCGGGCATGGTGGGCGCAGCTGAGTGTGCGCACAGGGCTATCTCGTCCCGGGCCATCCCTCGCTTCCCTGGGGTGAGCCTCACTCTGGCACAGGCGCCTGGGCATCCTGGCCCTTTCCTGACCGCGTCTCCTAAACTGCCTTCCAACGCTTCTTTCACAGTGTTCCTCCCTCCGGCCCCTTCCTCCCGCCCCTCCCTGCTTTCTTCTTAGCTGAGCGGGAGATGGAGAAGAAGCTGGGCCCGGGCCCGGGGGACGGAAGAGGCCAAAGTCTCAGACGGTCACGGCTCCGGGTGGTAGAAAGGTCAAGCACATATGTCAAGCTG